GTCAAGTGTACGTACTCTGATATATGGGACAATCAGGCGAAGGTGTCGGAGGTCAAATGTACGTACTCTGATATATGGGACAATCAGGCGGAGGTGTCGGAAGTCAAGTGTACGTATTCTGATATATGGGGCAATCAGGCGGAGGTGTCGGAAGTCAAGTGTACGTACTCTGATATATGGGACAATCAGGCGAAGGTGTCGGAAGTCAAGTGTACGTACTCTGATATATGGGACAATCAGGCGGAGGTGTCGGAAGTCAAGTGTACGTACTCTGATATATGGGACAAGCAGGCAGAAGATAGTGGAGTGTCAGCACCTCCTCACAGATGACCATGATGGCTAGGAGTCTCAGGTGGACACTGTGCAGTCACAAGAGTTGTATTCCCCACAGTTGACAGTGATGAGAGGAGGAGGACCAGAAACATAATGTAGCTTGCCGGTGTCGGGATGGCACTAGAGAATAGTCGGAAATGGGTAATTCCCTGTAGGAAATTACGTCTTTATCTGGAGAACTAATGGAAGTCTGGAAGTTCACTTAGAATATCTCTGAGTCAGGCAAGAGGTGATCTAACTGTGCCTGCTGAAGATATGACAAACAGCGGTGACTGTCTCTCTCCTTATCCATGCATATTTGTTTCTGACTCTCGGCTCGGCTCCTTATTTACTCGAGTCCTTTACCTTCTATACTTTTTCCATGATCTTGGCCTCTCTACACCTGGTAAACCACGGGTTCACTCTGGTCTTCCTGATGTTTCTGTTACCCCTGGGTACGAACTTCTCCACTGCCTCCCTCCACTTTGTGCTCACGTGATCCATCATTTCATTTACTGTCTTTCCATACAGTTCTCTTCCCCCCCACACAGTGTGTGTGTGTGTGTGTGTGTGTGTACCCACCTCACCTATTTGTACTCACCTATTTGTGGTTGCAGGGGTCGAGTCTTAGCTCCTGGCCCCGCCTCTTCACTGGTTGCTACTGGGTCCTCTCTCTCCCCGCTCCATGAGCTTTATCAAACCTCGTCTTAAAACTATGTATGGTTCCCGCCTCCACTACGTCACTTTCTAGGCTATTCCACTGCCTGACAACTCTATGACAACACACAGTGTGTGTGTGTGTGTGTGTGTGTGTGTGTGTGTGTGTGTGTGTGTGTGTGTGTGTGTGTGTGAGAGAGTGTTCTCGCCTATTTGTGGTTGCTGGGGTCGAGTAGCAGCTACTGGCCCCGCCTCTTTGCTGGTCGCTTCTAGGTCCACTCCTTGCTCGAAGAGCCTCGTTGCATCTCTCCTTAAGGCTTAATAAGTAGACTCTGAATGATTCTTCAGTGACTAACTGACCCTTAAGTGACCCTGATTGATTCGTTAGTGACCCTGAATGACCATTTATTAACCCTGGATGACCCTTCAACGACCTTGAATGACCCTATTACGAGTACAGGAGTAGTCTCTTCATGAGAGAGTCAGCAAAATACTTAAATATCATTGTAGGAGTCAAACAAAACACAGCAGAGAATAACTTTTTAAATTAATATTCTTTCTTCAATTATATGTACAGGTAATATATAATATATTGTGTTTTAAAATAATGGACTCCTATTTCAAAGCAGTATATATGCAAATCGGGTTCCTTATTTTGAAACACCAGGTATATACAGACTTCGTACAATAAGGCAATTTGCCAGCAAGAGAGACAGATGAACCGTCATCAACTAGAGTTGAGGTTCTACTTATTTTGCTCTACGAATGCTATGACATCGCTTCACAGAACTGGCAGGCTTTCTCGTGATTATTTGAATGAAACGAGCGGTTAGCATAGCAGTGGGGCCCCGACTAGTATACTTTTATCTGGTGGTTCACTGGTCGGGAGGCCTATATGGGTTGTGGCACACGTCGGGAGGCCTATATGGGCGTGTGGCACACGTCGGGAGGCCAATATGGGCGTGTGGCACACGTCGGGAGGCCAATATGGGCGTGTGGCACACGTCGGGAGGCCTATATGGGCGTGTGGACATACGTCGGGAGGCCTATATGGGCGTCTGACGCACGTCGGGAGGCCTATATGGGCGTCTGACACATGTCGGGAGGCCTATATGGGCGTATGACACATGTCCAATGAATTGTAAAGTATTCTAGGCATGCCACAGACCTTTCAGTGACCTTGAATGATCCATTTGATTAATCCTAAACGACCTTTAAGTGTCGTTAATAATCGTCAATAACCGAATGACCTTTCAGCGACCCTGGATGACCCTTCAGTCTCCCTCATAATCTTATGGTCCCTCATGACCTTGATTGACCTCCCATAACATTGAGTGACCTCTCATGCTGAGTGACCGCACTGATGTAGAGAGTGACCTCTCGTGAGTTTGAGTGACCTCTTATGATCTTAAGTACCTTCTCATGACCTCTCATGACCTTCTTCCTGACAGGGTCGTCGTCACCAGTGCCGTCACTGCCGTACCTGGGCATGGAGTGGGCACTGCCCTTCACCTCGGCGCTCTCCACGCCCCCACCTCCCACCACGCCCACGCCGCACTCGCCACCAGCCTCCTCACCGCCTGCTCTGGCCAGCCCTTACTACCTGGGCGTGAGGGCGGCAGATCTGGAGCCCCAGGAGGATGAGAAGCCGCCTATCATAACTCAGTCATTCCCGCCCACCTACTCCTCAGCCAGCCTCACCCTCACACCCACCACACTCTCCCTCACACCCACAACTCATTCCCTCACACCCACCACACTCTCCCTCACGCCCACCTGTCTCTCCCTCACGCCCACTACTCTCTCCCTCACGCCCACCACCCTCTCCCTCACGCCCACCACCCTCTCCCTCACGCCCACCACCCTCTCCCTCACACCCACCACACTCTCCCTCACGCCCCACCACCCTCTCCCTCACGCCCGCAGGCTTATCCCTTGCGTCCACGAGTCTCTCTCTCGCCCCTGGCTTGTCTCTAACGCCCACGCCCCTGTCTTTCACGCCCACACCTCTTCCTCTTACGCCCACAACCTTGTCTCTAGCACCAACTGCGGTGCCTCTCACGCCCACAACACTGTCTCTTACGCCAACATCATTGCCTCTCACGCCCACAACACTGTCTCTTACGCCAACATCATTGCCTCTCACGCCCACAACACTGTCTCTCACACCCACAACGCTGTCAGCGACGTCCACAAGTTTGTCGCAGCTGAGAATGCGGGCGAGAGAACACATTTCCTTCATTAATCTCAGTTCTGACTGAGGACGCCCACATCTGAACACCACGCCCACGTCTGAGCACCACGCCTACGTCTGAACACCACGCCCACGTCTGAACACCACCCCGTCCCTCCCTGTACTCAGGTTGTAAATGTTTTGGTTGAATGTGGACAGCACACAGTACCTACTTGCACCGGGCAATCCCGCCTAACAGTGTCCATGCCTTCATCTGCTACATGTTCCTCATCTGACGCAGGTATATAAGCACCAGTCTTCCTGCCTGTGCTTCAGAATCTTCAAGACTACGGTGCTCATCACACTCCCCAAGGCTGAGGGATTAATTACCTAGTGTTTCATATATAGTTCTACTGTCTTCACACTGTGTCCTTGTATTATAGTAATAACACTGGATGGCGAAGCGTCTACAAATTAATGATGCAGTGGAAGTCACTGAAAACTGCTTACACTGATCCATCCAGGCAGGCATACTGGTCCATCCAGGCAGGCATACTGGTCCATCCAGGCAGGCATACTGGTCCATCCAGACAGGCATACTGGTCCATCCAGGCAGGCATACTAGTCCATCCAGGCAGGCATACTGGTCCCTCCAGCCAGGCATACTTGTCCATCCAGGCAGGCATACTAGTCCATCCAGGCAGGCATACTGGTCCATCCAGGCAGGCATACTGGTCCATCCAGGCAGGCATACTGGTCCATCCAGGCAGGCATACAAGTCCATCCAGGCAGGCATACTCATCCATCCAGGCAGGCATACTGGTCCATCCAGACAGGCATACTGGTTCATCCAGGCAGGCACACTGGTCCATCCAGGCAGGCATACTGGTCCATCCAGGCAGGCATACTGGTCCATCCAGGCAGGCATACTAGTCCATCCAGGCAGGCATACTGGTCCATCAAGGCAGGCATACTAGTCCATCAAGGCAGGCATACTGGTCCATCCAGGCAGGCATACTGGTCCATCCAGGCAGGCATACTTGTCCATCCAGGCAGGCATACTGGTCCATCCAGGCAGGCATACTGGTTCATCCAGGCAGGCATACTGCTCCATCCAGGAAGGCATACTGGTCCATCCAGGCAGGCATACTGGTCCATCAAGGCAGGCATACTGGTCCATCCAGGTAGGCATACTGATCCATCCAGGCAAACATACTAGTCCATCCAGGCAGGCATACTAGTCCATCCAGGCATGCATACTAGTCCATCCAGGCAGGCATACTGATCCATGCAGGCAGGCACACTGATCCATCCAGGCAGGCATACTGGTCCATCCAGGCAGGCATACTGGTCCATCCAGGCAGGCATACTGGTCCATCTAGGCAGGCATACTGGTCCATCCAGGCAGGCATACTGGTCCATCCCGGCAGGCATACTAGTCCATCCAGGCAGGCATACTGGTCCATCCAGGCAGGCATACTGGTCCATCCAGGCAGGCATACTGATGCATCCAGGCAGGCACACTGGTCCATCCAGGTAGGCATACTGTAAGCTCATCATTCAGACGTTCGTATTTCACGCCTTGCCCCTACCCTTTGTGCTGCCATCTGTTGAGCCTAATTCAATCAAACTGGACAGACTCATCACAGGCAAGATGTTCCCTCCTCTCACTCTCCCGCAGGCCTACGACCTTGGCGTGGTGCTAGCACCAACCAAACTCACTATGTACCTATTTGTCCCCAATAAACCTAAGGCTTGCCTCCACCTATTACTCTACCCACCATGCTATCATTCCAAGTTACTACAAAAACTTACGATTACAGTGGAGTTAAGCCTAGGAACAAGTGCAACCATAATAGACCACATATGGACCAATATACTAGCCCCCCTTAAATCAGGGATAATCACAGATAGCACTACAGACCACTACCCTACCTTCCTCCTGACAAACATTAGTAAACCACCACTTGAATACAACAAAGTCTCATTTAGACTCCATGACGAGGCCTCAGTAAGGAAGTTCACAGCTGACCTAGAGACTGTTGATTGGCCTACAGAATTCTCCAAGGCCAATGGTATTGATGACTGGACAGACATCTTTCTTAACAAATTACTTAGACTATACAACAAACATTGTCCTATAAAAACAAAACAGATCACAAACAAACGGCTTGGTTGCTCATGGCTAACCAGCACCATTCTGAAATCCATTGACAAGAAACACCAATATGAAAAGCAATATAGACAGGGCTTAATACACAAAGATACTCTTAAACACTATTCATCAGCTCTAACCAAAGTAATAAAAAAAGCCAAACAACTATACTACTCCAGTAGATTCACAGACACTAGAGGAGATATAAAAAAGACCTGGAAAACACTCTCTCAGATTCTAGGGACCCACAAACTGAGAAAAACCAAGAATATTGTCCTAACTAAACCTAATGAAACACCACTACATCCCACTGACACAGCTAACAAAATAAACGACTTCTTCTCAAACATAGGATCTAATCTCGCCAGTAAAAAACCCACATACCAATGCCCATGCCGGGGACTACCTAGATGGAAATTTCCCTAATTCCTTCTATCTTGCACCAACTGAGCCCACGGAAGTCATTGAGATCATAAAGTCACTTAAAAATAACTCGGGGAATCTGTCTCATGTCCCACCATTACTGTACAAAGCGAGCGGCCCATGTCCTTTCGCATGCTATTTCATTACTTTTTAACAAGTCAATAGAGACTAGCACCTTCCCGAAACTACTCAAGATGGCAAGGGTTACACCAATACATAAAAGTGGTGACCCTACAGACTTAACCAACTATAGGCCAATATCTAACTTACCATTGCTATCCAAAATCTTTGAGAAACTCGTGCACAGGAGACTGTATTCATTTATAACGGCTCAAAACATACTCAACCCCTGCCAGTTTGGATTCAGGAAAAATAAAAGCACTAATGATGCAATCATAAAAATGCTAGATCTGCTTTACACAGCATTGGAAAATAAGGAATATCCACTAGGAATTTATATTGACCTAAGAAAAGCTTTTGACACAGTAACCCACGAAATCCTACTCCACAAACTTGACCACTACGGTATAAGAGGCCATGCGCTTGCTTATTTCAAATCTTACATTACTAATAGGTATCAGTACGTCACCATTAAAGACACAGCATCAGCAACACGGCCACTTGATACTGGAGTTCCGCAGGGAAGTGTCCTTGGTCCCCTGCTCTTCCTCATATACATCAATGACCTTCCAAACGTATCCCAACACCTGAAACCCATTCTCTTTGCTGATGACACGACTTATGTCATCTCTCACCCTAATCTTGCCACCCTCAACACCATTGTGAATGAGGAGCTGATTAAAATATCGACTTGGATGACAGCCAATAAACTTACGCTTAACACTGACAAAACTTACTATATTATGTTTGGTAGCAGAGCAGGAGATGCACAAATTAACATTAAGATTGACAACACTCTAATTACCAGAAATAATGGGGGAAAATTCCTAGGCTTATACCTTGACAACAACCTGAATTTCAGCACCCATATCCAGCATATAGCCAAAAAAGTATCCAAAACGGTTGGGATCCTCTCCAAGATACGATACTACGTGCCGCAAAATGCCCTTCTCACACTATACCACTCATTTATCCATACCTTACCTATGCTATTACAAATTATGAGGTAAGTTGGTATTATGGCTAAGTGACTAAATACTAGTTTGTGAGTTTAGCAATGTGAATGCTTTTGTTTTGGCACAGTACATAGTTTCAGTATTGGAGTATCACAGGATTCATTATTTTAAGATTGAGATTAATATTTTTGTTTATGGTCAAATGAGTGAGTGAGTGTAAGTGTGAACCACCAGGTGGTATTCGTGTAGTTAGTTGACGGGGTGTATCAGGGAGATAAGATGTTTTCTAATGGTAGTTTTGAAGGTGATGAATGTGTCTGCAGTTCTAGAGTTCTCAGGTAGGGTATTCCAGATTTTAGGGCCTTTGACATACATTGAATTTTTGTAAAGGTTTAGTCGGACACGGGGAATGTCGTAGAGATGTTTGTGTCTGGTGTTATGCCTGTGGGTTCTGTCACAACTATCAAGAAAGCGTTTTAGGTCAAGGTTGATATTAGAGTTTAAGGCCCTGTAGATGTAGATTGCACAGTAGTAAGTGTGGATGTAATGAACTGGGAGTAAGTTTAGATCTATGAAGAGTGGGGGGGTGTGTTGCCAGGGATGGGATTTAGTGATTATTCTTACTGCAGCTTTTTGTTGGGTTATTATTGGCTTTAGGTGTGTTGCTGCAGTTGATCCCCAAGCACAAATAGCATAGGTTAGGCATGGATAAATAAGTGAGTGGTATAGTGTGAGAAGGGCATTTCGTAGTCAGGAGAGGTGCAGTAGGCGTAGGTGGTGTTACATTTGTTCAGTGTGGAAGTAGGTCCACTGTCCACATAACTGCTGCAGCATATGGGCGCCTAGCGAACCTCAGAACAGCATTCTGACATCTTAATAAGGAATCGTTCAGGACCCTGTACACCGTGTACGTTAGGCCCATATTGGAGTATGCGGCACCAGTTTGGGACCAACACCTAGCCAAGCACGTAAAGAAACTAGAGAAAGTGTAAAGGTTTGCAACAAGATTAGTCCCAGAGCTAAGGGGTATGTCCTACGAGGAGAGGTTAAGGGAAATCGACCTGACGACACTAGAGGACAGGAGAGATAGGGGGGACATGATAACGACATATAAAATACTGAGAGGTATTGACGAGGTGGACAAAGACAGGATATTCCAGAGATGGGACACAGCAACAAGGGGACACAGATGAATCACAGAGATGTTAGGAAGTATTTCTTCTGTCACAGAGTTTACCTGGAGTTTACCTGGAGAGAGTTCCGGGGGTCAACGCCCCCGCGGTCCGGTCTGTGACCAGGCCTCCTGGTGGATCAGAGCCTGATCAACCAGGCTGTTGCTGCTGGCTGCACGCAAACCAACGTACGAGCCACAGCCCGGCTGGTCAGGAACCGACTTTAGGTGCTTGTCCAGTGCCAGCTTGAAGACTGCCAGGGGTCTGTTGGTAATCCCCCTTATGTACGCTGGGAGGCAGTTGAACAGTCTCGGAAGTGGAATAGTTTGGGAAGCGATGTAGTGGAGGCAGGATCCATTCATAGCTTTAAGATGAGGTATGATAAAGCTCACGGTTCAGGGAGAGTGACCCACCACAACCAGATGCACCTACTGTCTCACCACAACCAGACGCACCTACTGTCTCACCATAACCAGATGCACCTACTGTCTGTCCTCAACCAGACGCACCTACTGTCTCACCACAACTAGACGCACCTACTGTCTCACCACAACCAGATGCACCTACTGTCTCACCTCAACCAGATGCACCTACTGTCTCACCTCAACCAGACGCACCAACTGTCTGACCTCAACCAGACGCACCTACTGTCTGACCTCAACCAGACGCACCTACTGTCTGACCTCAACCAGACGCACCAACTGTCTGACCTCAACCAGACGCACCTACTGTCTGACCACAACCAGACGCACCTACTGTCTGACCACAACCAGACGCACCTACTGTCTCACCTCTTCCTGGTGTACCTACTGTCTCACCTCATTTGTCTCACCATACATATGAGGCAAATTATTTAGTACTGTAATCAGGTAATTCTTGGGTACATAAGGAAGGGATGATAAAGGAGATATATCCAGTAAATTAAAGAGGGAGTAAATAAAAGGTAAATAAAAATGGATCAAAATTTCAATTATTTTAATTATTAAAAAAGGGAGTAATTTACAGTTAGTAATTACAGTCTATTTTCGATACTTCAATATAAAATCATACACCATTATACTTACACGAAACCAAACCTGTAAGTATATTGCTACCAGGATTCCACCTCCTTGGAGCAGACACCAGCCACTCAACCTCTCTCTCAACCATCCAGGACCCAACTGACTTGTTTACTCCCTCGAACGCTCTTGCTCTTTGTCTAAGAAAGTCATTCCCATGGGAAGAGTCTACACTTGGCTCCTAACATCTTGGGATCTCATACAGATAACCAGGGAGAGGCATCACAGGCAGGTAACAGCTGCTCCTCCAAGAAGTCTTCCTCCAGTCCCCACTGGGAAGGGGGGAATTTTTAACCTCTAATTCGTTACTTTTGTTGTTTCATGATGCAAGTCGCATCGTGTGAAGCTCACATCTATTGTTGCTGTTATAAATGACGGTTCTAAGCTTGCTCGTGCAGCTGCCTTTAAAAGCAACCTGCAAATCAAGTTTACCACTATTGTCTCCCTCAAGGACGCCTTCATGGTCATCTGCACCAGCGATGAAGAAGCAGAAAAACTCCTGGATAACACCGCTGTCAAGACCCTAAAGATCAAGGATTCATCATATCATCATTCCTGAAGGCGAAACGTTCCTTTTCGTGAAACGGCTGGACAGGGATCGTCACGGCCCTCTTCACTGACGAACTCAAGACTTCCATCGAGGACCAGAATCTCTGAGCTTCGCTGGACATCACCATTAAGATTCCAAATGCCTCCTCCAGATAAAGATCACCTTTTCCGACATCGCTATGGCTGCCCAAGCCCTCTCTGACGGACTCTCCATCTCATACTATCAGGTCCACCCAAGACACAATGAACCTGAACACTACCAACACATCTCGTCCTGCTGGAACTGCTATTCTTACAATCATGTCACCAAGGACTGTCCTATCAAGGACAACAAATTCTGTTCGAACTGTGGTTGTTAAGGCCACGACTTCAAGGCTTGCACTACCACCTCTCCTCCAAAATGCCTTAACTGTAAGAGTAATCATCGCACTCTTACATTGAAATGCCCGATGAGAAAGGAAATAATCACCAAGAAAAATCAAGAAGAACTAAGAAGGACGACCTCCACAAAATCTCCAAAGTATGTTGCCGTCACTAAACTTCAAGCCGACACAACAAAGATTCTCAAAGCCATTCAACAGACACCTTCCATCAGCAACTCACTCTCTTCACTACGCGACGGCGCTCCTTCCAAAATTCTCTACTGCATGGTGAATGCACACCTTTCAAATGCAGCTAACCCTGGAACTTTTAATACCACTATAAACTATCTCTTCCGACTCAGCAACATGCCCGGCTTCAAGATCCCTGACTCTATAACCTCTGAAGACGTCCTCAAGATTATCCCCAATATCGCAAGCTTCACTGCACCTACTAACCTTACACCCTTCCTCAGCCCACTGCACCGTTCCTGAAACATCTCCAGCTGCTGACAGGACTACTGCCATCGACAACAACGACTTTTCTACTGAATCACCCGTCGCCTCCCAAGCCTTTTTCTAAAGTTACTTCCTCCTCTCAGCCAACCGACAAGCCAACAACACACGTCAACAATGTTCCAGACTAACTACAGACACCTGCCACTACCGACGAAGGCCTACCTACAGAATCTTCTTCTGAGGAAGAGAACGAAGACACCCACACCAGTGTAACAGAATAGAACAACTTAGTCTTGTACACATTTTCATCCAATGGCGATTCTATGACTGGTTTGGAACTGTACAAAGGGCTTTGTGCTGGAACTGTTAAGTGAGCCACCACATTACTTCACGCTAACACAAGTACTGGAATTCGTCAAACCCCACAAATACACATTTGGGCACCAAGCACAAATGTTTCACCTCTCCAGACACAACTTCAAGAAGTTCGAAAACGGTTCTTCATCACGTGGACTGCTAGGACACTCGCCACAGCATTCATCACATGGAATGTCTTCTCTCCTTCCAAGAATGCCTTTTCTCCCAAGACCACATACATCTCCAGTCCCTGGACTCATGATGTACCTCTGTAATCTTGTGACTACCGCACACAGGATGGGTATGGGGTACATAATAAAGATATTAAACTGACTACTACCAGGTCTAAACATGTGTGAGCCAAGTCGAAGTGTATTTAAACTCACAGACTCCACTTTCTATCAGTGCATGAGCTGACGCAAACACTGTTTTAACACTCATGAACATGACTGCAGGCTCGATCACAAGGCTAGAATAATTCACACTAGATTACCACAATCTTTCGAGACACTATGAGAACTGACACTCCTGGGAGTGATGATGTAAATCATGGGACTTATACTCCCATCTGACCCGTTAATGGCATTAATTAGTCAACAAACTATTACTTGGGTAACGAGTGGAGAAAGCTGGATGGTGGGGTAAAATTCCTCCACATCAGAGTCTGCGGGAGACAACATCATGGCCTGGAGATACACAGCATCAGGGTCTGGAGAGACACAGCATCAGGGCCTGGAGATACACAGCATCAGGGTCTGGAGATACACAGCATCAGGGTCTGGAGACACACAGCATCAGGGTCTGGAGAGACACAGCATCAGGGCCTGGAGAGACACAGCATCAGGGCCTGGAGAGACACAGCATCAGGGTCTGGAGAGACACAGCATCAGGGTCTGGAGATACACAGCATCAGGGTCTGGAGAGACACAGCATCAGGGCCTGGAGAGACACAGTATCAGGGCCTGGAGAGACACAGCATCAGTGTCTGGAGAGACACAACATCATGGTCTGGAGAGACACAGCATCAGGGTCTGGAGAGACCCAGCATAGGGGCCTGGAGAGACACAGCATCAGAGACTAAAGAGACACAGAATCAGGGTCTGGGGGAGGCAGCATCAGGGCTTGGAGAGACACAGCATCAGGGTCTGGAGAGACACAGCATCAGAGTCTGTAGAGACACAGCATCAGAGTCTGTAGAGACACAGCATCAGGGTCTGAGGAGACATAGTATCAGGGTCTGGGGGAGACACAGCATCAAGGCCTAGTTCACATATAGCATAAGAAATTGGTTTAGACACAGCATCAGAACTGGTTCAGGCACAGCATCAGAGACCGATTCAGACACAGCATCAGAGACTGATTCAGACACAGCATCAGAGACTGATTCAGACACAGCATCAGAGACTGATTCAGACACAGCATCAGAGACTGATTCAGACACAGCATCAGAGACTGATTCAGAGACAGCATCAGAGACTGGTTCAGACACTTGGACAACGAAATATGGATCCCAGGTTACAACCTATACAGATGTGACAGAGTGAACAGGAAAAAGGGGGGAGGGGGGTTGGCCTGTACATTGCAGAGTCACTTGTTTGCACAGAACTGCTTAATGCCTCAAATGATGTAGTGGAAGTTTTAGCAGTAAAGGTCGAGAACCAAAACCTAGTCATTGTGATAGTCTACAAGCCTCCGGATGCAACATCCCAGCAATTCCAGGAACAGCTGTTAAAAATTGACCACTGTCTGGAAAATCTTCCAGCTCCTGCACCCAACATCTTACTCCTGGGGGATTTCAACTTAAGGCACATAAAATGGAGGAATATAGCAAATAATATTGTTGCAGTAATAAACACCAGGAGGCAGCTCTGATGAAAACTCACACTCACACAGAGCTTTTAAATCTCTGCACAAAATTCAATTTAAACCAGCAAATAATAGAGCCTACTAGACTGGAGAATACACTAGACCTCATCTTCACTAACAATGATGATCTGATAAGAAATGTCACCATATCAAAAACAATATACTACTCAGATCACAACATAATTGAGGTTCAGACATGTATGCGTGGAGCCCCAGACCGACATAATGAGATTAGTCACGAGGGAGCATTCACCAAATTCAACTTCAATAACAAAAACATAAAGTGGGACCAAGTAAACCAAGTCCTAACCGATATAAGCTGGGAAGATATACTAAGCAACACAGACCCCAACTTATGCCTAGAACAGATTAACTTGGTGGCACTCGATGTATGCACAAGGCTTATTCCTCTAAGAAAAAAGAGGAGTAGATGTAAATAGAAAGAGACAGGCGCTCCCTTTACAGGCGACGGAAAAGAATAACAGAGCGACTAAAAGAGGTCAATATATCTGAAATGCGTAGGGAGACACTGGTCAGAGAAATAGCAAGCATCGAACTTAAGCTAAAGGAATCTTGTAGGAGTCAGGAATCGCGGGAAGAACTAAAAGCCATAAATGAAATCGAAAGAAACCCAAAGTATTTCTTCTCCTATGCCAAATCAAAGTCGAGAACAACGTCCAGTATTGGGCCCCTACTTAAACAAGATGGGTCCTACACAGATGACAGCAAGGAAATGAGTGAGCTACTCAAGTCCCAATATGACTCAGTTTTTAGCAAGCCGCTAACCAGACTGAGAGTCGAAGATCAAAATGATTTTTTTTATGAGAGAGCCACAAAAATTTGGTTAACACAAGCCTATCCGATGTTATCCTGACGCCAAATGACTTCGAACAGGCGATAAATGACATGCCCATGCACTCTGCCCCAGGGCCAGACTCATGGAACTCCGTGTTCATCAAGAACTGCAAGAAGCCCCTATCACGAGCCTTTACCATCCTATGGAGAGGGAGCATGGACACGGGGGTCGTCCCACAGTTACTAAAAACAACAGACAATAGCCCCACTCCACAAAGGGGGCAGTAAAAGCAACAGCAAAGAACTACAGACCGATAGCACTAACATCCCAATCATAAAAATCTTTGAAAGGGTCCTAAGAAGCAAGATCACTACCCATCTGGAAACCCATCAGTTTACACACCCAGGGCAACATGGGTTTTAGAACAGGTCGCTCATGTCTGTCTCAACTATTGGATCACTACGACAAGGTCCTAGATGCACTAGAAGACAAAAAGAATGCAGATGTAATATATACAGACTTTGCAAAATCCTTCGACAAGTGTGACCATGGCGTAATAGCGCACAAAATGCGTGCTAAAGGAATAACAGGAAAAGTCGGTCGATGGATCTATAATTTCCTCACTAACAAACACAGAGAGAGTCGTCAACAGAGTAAAGTCCGAGGCAGTTACGGTGAAAAGCTCTGTTCCACAAGGTACAGTACTCGCTCCCATCTTGTTCCTCATCCTCATATCCGACATAGACAAGGATGTCAGCCACAGCACCGTGTCTTCCTTTGCAGATGACACCCGAATCTGCATGACAGTGCTTCCATTGCAGACACTGCAAGGCTCCAGGCGGACATCAACCAAATCTTTCAGTGGGCTGCAGAAAACAATATGAAGTTCAACGATGAGAAATTTTAATCACTCAGATATGGTAAACACGAGGAAATTAAATCTTCATCAGAGTACAAAACAAATTCTGACCACAAAATAGAGCGAAACACCAACGTCAAAGACCTGGGAGTGATCATGTCGGAGGATCTCACCTTCAAGGACCATAACATTGTATCAATCGCATTTGCTAGAAAAATGACGGATGGATAATGAGAACCTTCAAAACTAGGGAGGCCAAGCCCATGATGACATTCTTCAGGTCACTTGTTCTATCTAGGCTGGAATATTGCTGCACACTAACAGCACCTTTCGAGGCAGGTGAAATTGCTGACCTAGAAAATGTACAGAGAACCTTCACGGCGCGCATAACAGAGATAAAACACCTCAATTACTGGGAGCGCTTGAGGTTTCTAAACCTGTATTCCCTGGAACGCAGGTGGGAGAGATACATGATTATATACACCTGGAAAATCCTAGAGACTGGTTCAGACAGCATCAGAACTGGTTCAGACACAGCATCAGAAATGGTTCAGACACAGCATCAGAGACTGGTTCAGACACAGCATCAGAGACTGATTCAGACACAGCATCAGAGACTGGTTCAGACACAGCATCAGAGACTGATTCAGACAGCATCAGAGACTGGTTCAGACACAGCATCAGAGACTGGTTCAGACACAGCATCAGAGACTGGTTCAGACACAGCATCTTTATGAATTATTATGGGAGAAAATTACCTGCATGAAGTTTAAAGGGTATCACGTGAATTGTTACATGCAAGTAATTTGGGTGAGATAAGTGGGATTTAGTCACAGTAAGTCATAGAACTGTCACTCCCTCGATGCCCACTACATCACTCTCACAAAAAGCTAGACCTAATATTAAATTAATAATTACAATATTAAACATTCATACCAATAATGGTAAATTATAAAATATTGTAAACTGTATATGATTAGGCTTGCTGGGTATACAGAATATAATTATTGTACATAAATTATAATGGTGTTATTAGAAAAAAAATTTCTATTACCACTTACCATTTAATTAGTGTAGATGGATCACACCACTACACCTGCCTGACACATAGACCCTACACTGGCCAGCTTGAGATCTAAATGAAAGGACTAATGGTGTGCTTCCCTGTGTGTGATGGCGTGTTACTTATCCTCTGCCATCCACACATAATTCTTGAGGTCCTACAAATTTCCTGTTCCAGTTCTTCAGCGGGGGACTTTAACACGGGTTCCTATTACAAATTCAGGCTGAAGCATCCCAATTTGGCCTCGAAGACACTGAATTATTAGTTGAATTTTTCACGAAAACCAGTGCTCACAAATTACAAATGGTGTAAATGACCCCAATGGAAATAAGTCACTGTGTCTGACTTTTTTGGGTTATCCTAGGTTCTCTACACATATGCTGCTATGTATGATAATTCTATGTAACTGTATTTGTGTATACCTGAATAAACTTACTTACTTAGTCTCACTGTATCACTCCACGGCTGCTGCACACCCTCCTTCACACAGTTTCTCGAAGGGTCAAATCAGCATCATTTTAATACACAATTATTACATTATTCAAATTTACACATGCTTTTTTAGATTTTGCCACCGAAGTGGCTAGTTTATTGTGCACCCCATATCCATCCTGTGGACGGTAGCGCGAGAGCATATGGATACACAAAAGGCCTAGGAACTAGGCCCCAAAGGGTTAACAGGAATACATATGGATTTATATCTACATATCTATAGTTCACTTATCTGTTACAAGCAAATTTAGGAAATTTGCTTAGTATATCTGGTATCTTATTTTCATTAATAAGATATCTTGACATGTCACATAGGTTATTATACTGTCTGTCTCTGTATTCCTCAATAGTGGACAATTAAGCACATAGTGTTCAAGAGAGTGACCATATCCTGATCACATAATTTACATTTAGTTTGATCATCATCTGTGTGTCCCCCAAACTGCCAGAAGTACTTGAAAACCACCCTAAGCCTGGCCACTACAACACAGTCAGTCTGTTCACATTGCAAGTTGCTCCATAAACATACTTATCTACGTTCATGTTATCATAGTGGTTATAGATCTACTCAGGCTTCTAACTGCATTCCTATAACAATCATCTTCATTATTTACTTCTCTCCTAATATTATTCCTAATGCTAGACACAGTTATACCAAATTATATTCATGTTCTCCTTCTGGATACTCTTCTTGGCTAACATATCAACTTTATCAGAAGGAGTAATCCAATGTGTGATGGGATCCATAGCAATTGTACATTAATTCCTTTGTCCCTAATTTTTGAGTATCTATACCTGGCTTCCCCAATGAGCATGTTTGTTGGAGTCATTATAGAGCCAAGAGCCTTCAATGATGACATAGAATCAGTAATGATGATAGAGTCAAACTCAGTGTCATAGGTTAGCTTTAGCGCCATTAGGATTGCAAACAATTCAGGTTTTCAGTGTAGACGCCCAGTTGTTAATTCTTATGCCTAACCAACAAATTTATTATCGTTCTTAACTAGGGAGGTGGCAACAAGAGCAGATGCGCCCTGCCAAAGACTCCTGTTTAGATCCATCAGTGTATATAACTTGTGATAACTTATTACTACCAGCTAGGCGAAAAATTTCTTCTTGAGCAGTTGCTCTAACAAGAATTTAAGGAAGGGATTACTAGCAATGAGCTTCTTGGGAGGGACTTGTAGGTATTGATATTAAATGAACACATCTTCCATGGAGGGGTGAAATGCTCTTGTTGCCTCAGTGATACAGTTCATGCAGGTTATAAAACTTAATGCAATTGCACGTTTTCACAATCCATTTAGATCTGTGTGTAATTTACCTCTAGACACTTGGTAAGATTCACTGTGACAGTGTCTGGTTTTCGTTTCTCAACTTTCTAATACCGAGTACAGTTTTAAATTTTTCAACAATCCTATCACTGATTCTAGAAATACCAGCTCCTTCCTCATGTTAAGAACTTTTGTAGATCTGGGACAGCCAAGAATAGTCCTGAGAGTTTTCATTTTGCATTAACTCCAAGGGTCGGAGGGAACTTTCTCTAGCTAATATCAACATGGGAGCAGCATAATCAATTAAGGACCTAACATAGGCTATGTACATCATTCTCACGATTCTCACATTAGCACCATAGTTGGGATTGTAGCCAGCAACAGCTTTGAGAGCATTTAGCCTAGCTTTGCATTTCTTGTTTAGTTGTGGTATAGTGGATTTGTTAAAGGGTACATCTACACCAAGATATCTGTAAGTTTTAACGTAGCTAATGATTTCACCCTGCAAATAGATGGGTGGGGCAATTTGTAATCGACTAGGCCTCATAATATCTTCCTCTAAAACAAAGATATTAACAAGCAAACGACATCCCCCACCCATCTATTTACACATGCTCAATTTGGGAAAATTCTAAATTTTCCACAGCATCAGAGTGGTTCAGACACAGCATCAGAAATTGGTTCAGACACAGCATCAGGACTTGGTTCACACACAGCATCACTGCCTCTCTGCAGGTTCCAGGATTTACCTCTTCTCTGGCTTCCTTTAGACGCGGGATACTGACTCAATTTAAAACGTGATTACTTTTTCCATGGCTGCGAAGACATATAAATAGTCGCTTTCCCTTTGGGCCAGGGCAGCTCAAGTTTTCTTCCTAGTTATTTTTTTTTCCCTCTCTACCCCTACTCCTATCTTTAACCTATCCATCTGGTCTCTTACGATATCCCTTCTATCTCTCCCTACTTCTCCCTTGTGTATTTCCCAATCCCTCTCCCCTTTGTTATCTCTGTCCTCCTATCTCCGCCCTTTTTATTTTCTCTGTCTCCTATCTCTTCCTCTCCCTTTCACATCCTTTCTCTACTATACCACCCCCTTCCATTTCACTAATATTTTAACAGTCATTAGGACAATATTTTCACTCATAATGGAGATCTTAAAAGGGCTAAAAGTGACAACCTATTTGTTGTCAACAACTTGTTTCCCATGGGGGATCCACTCGCCCGAGGAGGGTGAAAATCAAGTTAAATCCCAGAAAAAGGGTAGTCATATTTTTAATAAGGGGAAAAGCGCAAAACCCCCGTGGTTTATACAGCCTTGTGTGTGTGTGGGGGGGGGGGAGGGGGGATGGGGAAAGGGTATTCAGGTCAATTCAAGGAAAAATGGAGCAAGATCCAGTTTCTAGATCAAAGGTCCTCCCAAATCAAGGGAAACCCCTCTTGGTGGGTCAACTTATTTTAAAACGTTATTTCTTTTGTGATAATTCGAATATTGCTGCCACATCAAAAACTCAAAGCACTTCATATTTTTATTATAAATTGGGGTGGAGGGAAAGAGGGGCAATTTTGGGGAATGTTTTTTTTTTTTTTTTTTTTTTTTTTTACGAAATCCAACAGGCTCGTGTGTGTTAGATAAGAGTGGGAAAAAAAATGACTTTTTTGACGGGACTGATGCTGGAGGTAGTCAGGGTAAATCCAAAAATTGGTTTTACCCGGCTAAACCTGAAGGGAGAGTACCCCCACTCTGAAGAAGGGTGCAAGTTGCACTTCGGAGGTATTTGTTTTTTGAGTCGGGAGACACATGTAAAACCATAGGGTTTACAGCGTCGTGGGAGGGGGAATGGAAGTATTTTTAGGGTCAATTTAGGGAACCCGGGGCACAGATCCAGCTCAAAAGTCCCCCCCAGCGTAAGGAAACCCCCCTTGAGGGAAATTTCATACAAACTCCCTCACAAGATATACAATGTTCCTGAAGAACTTTCCTTTATTTAAAACTTTCCCTTTATTAAGACTTTTCCTTTTATTAAGACTTGCCTTGTCGTTCGGTACTTGCAAATTATTTTTCACAAAAACCCCGGTTTAAAAAAGGATTAATTTCTGAGCCCAAATGTTCATTTTGAACACAACCGCAAAGTTTAATGCATACTTGTTTTTTAACCGAGGAAAGGTGACCAGAAAAGAAAAACATTCTCCCTTTTTTACAATAATCACTATCTTTGCAGAGGGCCCAATATGACGTTTTTATGTCACTCCAAACAGCCAATATCCCAAACCCCCCTTTAAAGTGCAGGACCCAGGGCTGGGGGTTTACCCAAGTTTACCTGGAGAGAGTTCCGGGGGTCAACGCCCCCCCCGGCCCGGGCTTTTGGCCAGGCCCCGGGGATCAGAGCCTGATCAACCAGGCTGTTGCTGCTGGGTGCACGCAAACCAACGTACGAGCCACAGCCCGGCTGGTCAGGAACCGACTTTAGGTGCTTGTCCAGTGCCAGCTTGAAGACTGCCAGGGGTCTGTTGGTAATCCCCCTAACCGGTTTCCATGAATCCCTTCACAAAATATTACCCTACTCACACTACAACAGCTCGTCAGGTCCCAATTTAGCACGCTCACACATGCCTGCTGCATGTCCAGGCCTCTTACACACAAAACTTCTTTTACCCCTCCTCCCTCCATCCTCTCTTAGGTCGACCCCTATCCCTCTTTCCCTCCATTACAGATTTATATACCTTCCAAGTCAAAAGGCGAAAGCCACATCTAGTATCTGGCCCCTGCTCAGACAAGATGGAAGTTACATAGATGACAACAAAGAAATGAGTGAGATTCTAAAATCTCAATATGACTCTGTGTTTAGCGAGCCACTAATCAATCTAAAGATCGACAATCCAAATATTTTTTTCATGAGCCT